GCTTATGCGTGAGAGGCGATCACGGAGGGAGCTTTTTTACTTTGTAGTTTTGCCTTAACTTATGCTGATTGTATTTCAAGGTTTTTACGTTCTATCCGATCAACCGCAGCTGTACGCTGTAACAGAGTGCTGGCGGAATTGGCCTCACCATCCACTCACCAGTGCTGTATGGTGGTACTATGTCATCGAGACTTCTTTCTATTGCTCCTTGATTGTTAGGTAAGCTTTTTTTGCAATTTCAATGCTGGAAACACTTTTTTTGCAGCGGCGAAGCGTAAAACTCATCTTTATAGAATGAAAAAATGCACAGAAAAGTGCAAAATTCGGTCGGAGGAGCGCACTACGTAGCTGAAGAGACTTTTCAAGGTAATGAGAATCAGTTAAGTCGCCGAAAAATATCTTACTTAGAAAGATATTCGGAAAATCCATAAATTCATTTCTGTATTTTGAAAAAACTTACAAGAAATGTGAATTAGATTTTCACATCGTTTGATTAGCGGTATTTTGCGTTTTGTGCTGTGTAACAGCAGTACAAAACGTATATTGTCACGGGGTTGTCTGTGTGTGTGTGTGTGTGTGTGTCCGCAGCAATTTGTCTGCAACTTTCAACTTGGGGACTACAAGAGCTAGGAAGCTGAAAATCTAGGGAAACGTTCCCCACCCACATGCGACCCCGCAAATTTAAATTCAGCCTCCCTTACCCGCGAGTAACACATACGGCCCCATAAAAGTTTGGGCAGGTAAAATTATTATCACGGGAACCACGGGAGCTAGAAGGCTGAAATTTTGTGGGCATGTCCCCCGCCCTCTTGCTATCCAGAAAATTTAAATTCAGTTTTCCCCTGTCCGCGGGTAAGTGTATGGCTCCGTGAAAATTTTTGACGGGTAAATTATTATCTCAGGAACTACAGAGTCTAGTAACCTGGAATTTTAGAGTTGTAACTCCCTGCCCATGAACGATCTTGCAAATTCAAATTCAGCGTTCCCGCGTTCTCGGGTATAACTTACGGCCTTGTGGAAGTTTCGGCAGGTAAACTATTATCTCGGGAGTCACGGAAGGATATTTACCCTTCAAGGTTTCAAATTCAGCTTTCATGCGTTGGTGCGTGAGATTTTTAACTATTTTCCAATGTTTGAACTATTTTTGGGCGGGCTAAGGTATAAAGCAGTGAAAATCATTAATAGGCAAACCGTTCGGTGAGCGGGATTGCACAAAACGCATGATCGCATCGGCTAGTCTGGTGCGCGTTGCTATTTATTTTACTACAGCGCCTCATGCCATCAGCATGGCAGCAATCGTTCTGTCTACCGGTACCATAACTTTTTTTCGTTGCCTTTCTGAACTAATTTGCTAGAAGTGTAACATTCCTCCGTTATTTGTGTAGCCGTACAGCTCATTTGAGTGCAACAGCGATATCTATTACTCTCGCTAACGATGTGCCGAAACTTATGGGGAGTTGTTTTTGCCGAGTTTTGCGCAAAAATAGTGTAAAATGACATCGAGAAAGGCATTCAAATGTTAGAACCGCGGAAAAAACTAGCAGTGATTTTTCCAGTTCATTGGTATTCGATGTTCGGCGAGCTGATTTTGCGCAGATGACGTTGCATCATGTGATCACGATAACACTCCTTTTTCTGAGTTTTGCAATGAATATGATTCGAGTTGGGACACTGATTCTTTTCAGCCACGATATCGCTGATGTATTTCTGTAAGTTTTCCTTTCCTTTTAACTTTTTGGTTAAAGTACAGTTGCGGTATTTGGTGGCATGGCTATACGTAGTCTCATGGGATGACTTTGTCCTCGTAGATTTTGAAGACGCTGTATAGTATTGTGCGTGTT